CATCTACCTGCATACCTGTTTTGTCTGTAAGCAAATAGGAGATCCTTCCGAGTTGCTCTGGAATAGTGCTGGATCGAACCACTGTCCCAGGAATTTTGGAATCTCTACGGATCACCCAGCTATAGACTATTTTCCCCATGTCCAGGTTTACACGTAAACTGTGTAGAGAAAGAAAAAAAGGAAAAAAAAAACAGCTTAATTTGATAAATGGCTCCCAGAGAAATGCAGAATTTTCTCTAAAACTTTTGGATGACATCGTCACCATGAGCTGCCATAGGAAGTGGCTGCAGTAAAAGGGCAGTCCTCCCATATTAAAAATGCCTGCCATAAGAAAGGTTTGTCTGTGACTAGTCCCATTTAAACCCTGATGAAGCGGGGAAAACTAAAGAGGTTCTTGCTTGGTTGCAAGTGACCTGCCAAAATCCAATCAGTACGACAGAGCATAAACATCCAAGCCAGGTATGCACATAAACCAGTCCAAGTGATAGGAAATTAATTTAAACCTGTAATTGTGGAGAAGTTTAGTGCACATAGACAGATCTAAAAATTGTAGAACCTGATCTCTATTTGATGTTTGACCAGTCCTTTGTCTTTTACTCTTTCTTTTTCTATTTAGTTACCTCATAGGATAGGATTTTACCTGCTTGTGCTTGTTAAAAGAGTGTGCAAAGTGCATTGAAGGTAACCTTTTGCTGGGGAGGATTAAGTGACCTCCTTACCTAATAGGAATGATGTTTGAAAACAAGAGGAGGAATCGGATGATCTGAAGATACCACCGGCCTGCAAAATGCTGGAGAGCCACCATTACAAGCGAGACCACCACTAAAGCTCCAAACAGGATCTTGGTCAGGCAGTTCACTTCCAAGTCAAATAGCCCAATCTAAGCAAATAAAACAAGACAAAACACAGCATTTCCTAGAACACACGTAGAGGTGTTATCGGGGCCATGATCTCATGTGGATGGAGCTGTCACTATGCCTGAAGTGTGTGCGCACCCATAGAGATAGCATCTCTATTACAACCACTCCCCCCACAGAAAACAACCCCCAACCAAACAAACCCATAAATGAAAGCTCTAGCGTTCTTGGGTATAAGCAGAGCAAGCTGCACAGACCTAAACCAAAAACAGTGAGATGGCATGCTCATTTCAAAGCCACTGGTAGTTCAAAATGTTCATCACTAGACACTTTCTTATCTTAATTTAAAATGTCTGTTCTGCATTTCAAAGCAATTCTCCCCCTAACTCAACATTCAGGATCCTGCATCCTTAGCAGCAAAAATTTTACAGCTGCAGGAGGACTATCCATCTGCGACTGCCACTTTCTACTGTAAACTCATTTTTCAAAAAAAAAAAAAAAAAAAGAGTACCGACAGACCCAATCAGTTGACAAGATGTGAAATGACCCGAGTAGTCGGGAATGGTTTGCTAACGTCCAAAGAACTTAGGGGACAATGAAGCCTTGTCTAGACACAAACAATTATATTATTTTAACTCTACTGATACAGTTGAAAATCATAACCTACCAGTGGAAATGTAGTTCCACTGGTATGAACTATGCTTGTATATTTATGTAACTCTTGCAAATTTAAAGCAGCAGTGCTTTCATTGGACTGGCAGGTAATGTAGGGGTCATTTCAGTGTCTCTCCCCTCCCAGGCAGGGAGGCTGGTCAGGCTCAGCTAAGTCACTGGCTCCTTGTGTACATGGAGAAGAGACTGAATTAGTGGATCCCACTTCCCCCTAATTTGAACCTAGTTTCTTAGGTCTGCTGTGGGCATTTATACACATGCTCTGGGCATGGGTGGGTGGTGCTTTAAAGCACCTGGAGCACCACATGTATCAGAGTACCTGCACTGAAAAATGGCAGTGGGGACGCTTTAACTAAACCTTGCTAAAGCTCATTAGTTAAAGCACCCTGTCATCGCTTTTCAGCGTGGGGGCACCGATACACATGATACTGCTGGAGAGTGAGAATTACCATGTTCCAGCAGACTCGATTAATTGTGTCTGCTCTGACATGCTGTAATTACAGTGTGTCAGAGCCACCTCAGTGTATGTGTATAGGTGTCCTGCATTAGCTAACTAAATAAGATATATAAGGAACATAAGCTTTGATGAAGTGAGCTCAAGTTCACAAAAGCTTATGCTCCTTATCACTTTTAGTTAGTGTATAAGGTGATTATCTACCCTGCCTTATGCCTGATTTCAGACTAACATGGCTAACTATGTGCCACTGTACTAGCTGACATCTTTGCGATTCAAAAGGAATTTTTTACTCCCTTTCAGATTGGCCAGGGTGGGGTGGGGTTTTTTTGCCTCCTCTATAAAAGATGAGGGACCCAGGTAGGTAGACAAAAAAAGGCAGGTTCTAATTGTTGCAACTCAACACGCGCTGGTGCCCAGTGCAAAGTCTCTGCACTCCTTAGGGAGCCCACTGCCTTGATAAAACAAAACTGAAAATGGTTTTGGAGGAAAGCAACTCTTCTAAAAAACTGAGGAGCAAGGCTAGAGCTCATAATGTCATATACCATTAATGGGCAACTCCATTCCCTCAGCCCCTAAACCCTCAGACAAGCAATTGGCTGGGCACCAGCTAGGGGGACTGGCTGAAGCCCTTGAACAGGTAGAAATAGAGTCACAATCTGCACTGTATGAGTTCTTGTCAGTGATCCACGGGCAGTGGAATTAATAAACTTATGACCTAATTACACAACTTCCCTTGCACCTTGTTTTTTATTCAGCACATCCAATACAAAGCCTGTACAATTAACTTTGCTTTAATAGCTCTGAGGATGAGAAGGATTATACTAGGATAAATCTATCATTAAGAAAAAAAGAGAGAAACAGAATCGTAATGATATTAAAAGGGTGTGTACAGCAGTCTTGAGAAAATAGAGGAAAAAGAGCTGGCTTTGAGGATGATCCTACACTGAAAGCTGAACATCAATTAAAATTTAGCTGATGCTGCCACTGCAGCATAGCCAGTGCTCAGACATTTGCTGTGTAATAGGCAGAAGGCTCAATATTCATTTTTCAAGGTATCTGGGTGTTGTTTTTCTTGCTATTTTTTTTTAAACTGTACCTTACTTCGTGGATTTGAAGTATTCATAACACTGCGCAGCTCCCTCCCTGTGTAAAGAACAACGCCCACAACAGTACCTAAGTGGAAAAAGACAAAATATACAACACTGAGAAAACAGAAAAAAAATCAAAACAAGAACAAACCAAGCCCCCAACAAACAGACAAGAAAAATGCCCCTCTCATTTAAAGCAGCCGGAAAGATGAACATTCCTCAAGGATCTGATTCATGGGCTCAATACACTTTTAACAAATTAAGTTTATTAATTGTACATAATAACCGAAGAGCAACAAAATTCAGGTATTTGGATCATAAATGGAGCAAAAGAAAAACTGATTCTGAACACAAAAGTTCAGCTCATTTTTCCTCTATATGCAACAGTGCTAAGAGGTGAAGCCTCCATTCAATAAACGTGCCAAGTATACCATTAAAGTTTAGGTAATGGAACAAAGATGTTTCCATTAAAGGACATAACAGATTAAGTTATTTCTTCTGATCCCTTCCATTTTTTCTCCCTTTAACTGCACAAATTCTCTCTCCCTTCTCCAAGCATTACAATTAGCTGATAAAACAGGTAAATTTACCCTTCCCCCCTGCCACCCCCAATTAATCTTTAATTACAATCACTGTTGCCTTGTGCCTTTTTGTTGTCCTTCAAAAGCAAAATGCCCCCAAACTTTTCATGATAGTGAATTATATGGCAGCATTTTTAGAAGCTGCACTGTAATAGGTGTAAAAATATATGTGAAGAGTCATTCACTGGCTGTACAGCTTATCAGAGAGGCAAGGAAAATAATTATTTCTAGAATAAAATGGGTATAGATAAGTGGCAGGACCAGCTAACGTGAGAAGAGACCACACAATTCCATATTACATTGTGAATATTAAATTAGACAGTGGCCCAGGTATTCCCAGTGAGGGCAGAATCAGGTTAACTCTTATTATTCAGCAACAGATGGAGCTGCTGGGAGGCTACAAGTATATTTTTATGCTACAACAGCACTCTAGTGAATCACTTCATAAAAGGCTAAGAGTGAGCATGGGCATCTCTTGGAAAGAGAATCTTAGTCTTATTCCAAACCTAGACTAATTTAAAATAATTTGCTTTCTTTCCCTGCTCCTGTTATTAATTAGGCTTTCAGCAGGCTGCAAATTAAGTCCTAAATAACTTAAAGTGTAAGTTGAAAAGAGGTGGCTTCCAAATACAGTCTGGGAAGCATTCCTTTAAAAATAAGGCTCTGAGCCAGATGGCAGAAGGTGGCAAGACCAACCCAATTCAGATCAGCAGATGGCAGGCTACTCCAGATCTGACAGCAAACAGCAAGAGGAGGCGCACTCACTCCTACTACAGCAGCAGACGGGGCATGCTGGGTGACTGCTTTAATGCATGAGGGGGAGCTGCATCCAGTTGTACGGCATTGTTTCACATACAGTATCTTATTGTTTGCATGAATCCACCCGCTGGATCAACTAGTACACAAGATAAGCATTCACAGAACAAAAAGGTGGAGGGCACAGTGTCTGGAGCAGGAATTCTCAGCCAGGTGCCGTGAGATGCTTTTAAACTGCTGTGGTGCCCAGCCTCTGTGGCTTGCTCCTCCTCTCCCCTAGCATCAGGCACCCCAGCATCCCACAGATAAGCAGTGCCCATGGCTGCTCCCTGCCCTGACAGCAGCTCCCGTACCAGCCCCACACTCCCAGCAGAATGCTGTGTGCCGACGCACGCGTGCAAGCGGACAGGCAGTCATGGGGCCACAGTGCTGCATGTTTTAGCTCAGCTTATCTTCCATGCTTCCCTCCCTTCTTTCATGCTCCTGGGGCTACAGGTGCATGTGACTTCAGTCCAGCTTTCAAGTCCCTGGTGAAGCAGCACTGCCCCTCAAGTAAAGACCATGGGCTGGGAGGGGGCAGGCAGTAGAAAAAGCAGGGTCCTGTAGGGTGTGGACCTGCCCCCATTTACCTGGCACAACCCAGGTTCTAGCTCAGTGGTTCTCGGCTGGGGTGTCCCTAAACTGTGAAAAATTATGAAAGGGTGCCTTGAGCTTAGCTGAGAACCACTGATCTAGAACAATGGCTTTCCTGCCTATTTTTCCTCATCTATGTTTAGAAGAGGGGCTGAACTGGAACTCACATTACTAACTGTCTAGCCACATGGCATAACAGTTATCCTGCACACGCTCATGTGTATTTGCTCTTTGCAAAGTGGGAAGCCAGTCACCAGCTAATAATTACTGATCTATAAAAAAAAAAAAAATTACTCTGCCAAATTGTGTGTGGACATCTACATTTCATGTCAAAGGATGAATCACTATGACAACATTTTAGTGTATTTTAAAAAGGACCAGCAGAAGCATGAGATGGAAACACTCAAGAAGTGAAAAGTAGTTATCTTTTTCTGCTAATTAAACAATCTCAGTTCCATTATAAAGTAGAACTTTTTGAAGTCTGTATTTCTTTCCAGTCTTTGATGTCTCTCAGCAAATAGCTAAACACCATAGCATGAAAGAGCTGCAAACTCAGACACTTCAAGCCCTGAATTTCACTCCTCTTCTGCCACTTTCCTGTGGAAACCTTTTAATAAGTACATCGGATGCTCCAAGAACAAGTCTTTTCTCCTGATAAGCATTCATGCCTCCCAACATCCCAACATTTATCACAGAATATATATATTTTAACCCCTCCAAAACCACAAGTCAGCAGAAGCATTTACCTGGCCATTTTTATGTTAGCTTCTATTGCTAGAATCTGACACAATTTCTGTTACAGATTAGAACGTCAATGTTGAGAGCAATTAAGTGCTATTCTGGTAGTGGATGCTCGAGAAGTGCCCAAAGGCCACTCGAATTCCGATTCCTTCTCATCTATAAATGTCCAACAGGTAATTAGATGTCAACTCAACTCCCTGGAGGTGTTAGGACAAGTGGAAAACTTCATTCCAACCGCAAATTTCTCCAACTGACAGAGATGATTATTCCAATTACAAAAGGATTTTAAAAAATTGCTAACATACTCCCTAAAAAAATTACAAGAGCTTCCATCTTACCTGAAGCAATCACTGTGCTGGCCCAGAGGGTGTTTTCTATGCTTAAGCTTTCATTTACTGGAGGATCGCTGTCCTCCTACAACAGACACACATGAATAAAAATAATTCAAACAACTTATTAGATCTGTATGTGAACCGGAGAGAAATCCTGCAATGTGATTAGCCTTGTTAGACAATAAATACAGGCATCTCATTTCTACAAGCTGGAAGGATGGAGAAGTCTATACTTTTATCTCCTCTGACCTTTCCTGCTCAAGCCCCCTGCAAGTTAGGCATGGAATGAGGGGCTTCTTTTATAAATATTTGACAATGATATGACATCTTCTATTGCGCCATGTGGATTAACAGCCCCCAGGATCACACCATCAGTGAATATGCTTTCCATCAACAGCATCCACTCATGAAAATTCTTGACAATTTGCTGTGCGTCTCATCGTAAAGTATCAGCATAATTTTACCTCCCATTTAAATCCCTCAAAAATGCTTGGAAAGCATCGTGAATAATATGATATGTCAATCAATGAGTAAGCAAGATTTGGTGTAATTTTTTTCGTGCATTGGGAGATGAAGTCTAAAGTACTTTGCCTTTAAAGAATGCTGGGTAAATGAACACCTACAAAGAGTTCTACAAATTTCCTCAACTCTGCAGCTCTGACTTTTCCCTCTATATAATATACACCCATCAGATAAAATTTCCAGTTGCATTCCTTTGGAAGGAGAAGAGCCACCAGTGCAGAGCTTGGACATTTGAGAGCTCATTTTCTGCCTTCATGCAGCTCTGAATGGATAGCTGTTTCATCTTTTACAGCTTGTGCAGTGAGCAAGTTCTTCTTAACAGGAGAACTTGGTATTCAACCACCATGCTTGACGCCAATGAGCACATCTACTATCATCTGAATAAGGGCCTCTGCTCTGCACAGCTTGCGTCTTTTTATGCCAAACCTACTATGAGCTATAAAGTTTTCATTTTCTTTTTCTGGAGTTGGGGGGAGCAGAAGGAAGGGAGGATTATTAAATTTAATAGATGAATTATACTTTTTAACTTCAGCATATTTGTACAGGCGATAGCAACATGTCAGTGCTTCTCCAGAAGAAATATGAAAGTCTGCAGAAACTATTTAAAAGGTCTATGCATGGCATACACTTCTATACACTGCTTAAGAAGGGCTGGTCAATACTTACTCTGGTAAAGGTCCCCACAAAATTGTGTATGTCAATATTAGGTTCTTCTGCATAAATGTAGGATCGAATTTGAAGAAGGTCCTATACAGAATGGAAATGTTGTAGCAGAGGGTTAAAAGATGGATAGTTCAACACAATACACACTTTTAAAGCCTCTACAATTGACAACCATTTCTTTAAATAAATTAACATGGAAGAGTTGAAGTAATGATATGATAAAAATCTCTGATGTAGAAAGAACAAAATCATTAGAAAAGCTTCTCAAGAATGGCAGTGTCAGCAAAGAAACTGTTGGAAGTTACTTGATGGTTGGTGCATCATGAGGGAAGTATCAGGCTGAATAATTAGGACAATGTATAATATTTCTAATAGACTGTGGAATGGTCTGCCATTGGAAACAATGAAAGGCTTTGGACATTTAGGTCAAGACATTAGCATGTGCAATAGGGAACAATTCTGCAGTAGCAAGAAAGCAGAAATGCTAATATTGCAAGCCATTTTCCCTGCTAATGTCTAGGATTATATAAAATCACTGCTAAAGAACTTTTATACTTCTATGCAGGGTTTTGTATATTTAAACATTAAATTTAAACATATTTATTATATGTCGAATGCTGTAAAACAGATGTTCTCAGATCCTTTCTTTTTTAAACATAAACTGTACTATAGCTACAGTTTAGGATACTGGGAGATCCGCAGTGGTTGACGAAGGCAATATGTTTACTTCAGATGATGAAGAGGCACAACTGATTAAAGCTTTCCTTTCTTGAAGGCAAGCAATGATTGCTGTGGAAGCTAATATTCTGTTTCAGGGAAATACACAAGTTTTGCTCTTGGAATATAATGAAGTTCAATTAATGTAAAGAAAGCCATATGAAAAAGCAGAAAGTAAAATCATCAAGGGAATGGACCTTTTGTGTAGTGAAATATTGGTAGATATCCTCCATTTATACTATGAAAAGTCCATTAGTCACCTCCCATTTCAAGGTGTTACTCTGGACAGTAGCTAAGCAGCAGCAAGGGCATGTCTACATAGCAGTGACTGTGTTGTATTAGAGAGATGGGTAAAACAGCTTAGATCTAATTACAGCAATGTGGGCCAACAAGGTTCAATTAGCCCACCCTGAGTGCCATGCTGCCACAGCTAGACTGCAAGCTTAGTGTAGACATATCCCAAAGTCTGTCAGAGCTTTCTGTCATTGCAACACCTAAACATTTGTCAAGTAAATTGCATCTATTTGGTATAGTCCCTAATGAACTTCAGGGAGCTGTCTGCTTGTCTCCTCTCCTTGAGGAAAGGAAGCTGTAATTGTGATTGAAGAATTTTTTTTTAAATCAAATGCCATTCCCCTTTAGCAACCTAACTAGCTTTAACACTTCCCAAAGCATGTTGAGAACACCTTATACAGCACAAGAGGTTAGTGCACCTGTAAGATTTAATTATGTCTCATGGGATACACTTAAACTATAGATCGGAGAGCTAAAAGAAACATATTTCAGATAAGGAATTGGCATGCAGTTCATATCAACTTCATCTTTATACAGTACCATTTCGTAGTCTTTACAACAAAAACGCTGCTTTTTGTTCCTTATAACCTAGTTTCTCAGGTTTTAAAAATATCTCAAGCAATAACTAGTTTCAAATGAGAACCAGGTAATAAAAATAACATGCACCCAAAACATCTCAATATGTTTTTGAGAATAATGGATTATTTTAGTCCCATTTGGATGATCAAATGTGCATATAATTTTTCAAAGTCTTCATCTTGGAGTCTGTCTATATGTTGGTGGCACTGGACAACCCATTCAACCACTGACCTGATTCAGAAATGGAAGTTAGTCTATAAGGTAGCTCCAGTCTCATCCCCACCACCTCTTCTCAGGCCTTCTAAGGAACAAGGGCTTGAGAGTGGGTATCGGGGACAAGCCCAGAGAAACTTCACAGGCAAACTTTCAGGTCTGGAGCAGGTCAGCCTGGCATGTTATTATTGGCACACTAGTTGTTATTCCATCTTCTGTAAAAAAACATTTCCCCCTCTTTTGGCAGATTAGCTATTCTTTCAAACTTGCAAGGCAATAAAAAAAAAATATTTTGCTAGAAAGCTGCTTACAGAAGCTGTTGGTAATCTCTGTGTGCAGGTAACTGGCAAACGTAATTTCCAGTCTGTCTCACCGTCCAGTTGATCAGTGCGAAGGAAGCAGGATCCTGTGGATTTTCAATACAAGTTAATAATCTTCCTACTTCCACTTCAGGTACATAGGGTGTGCCGTCTACACGTTCATTAATGTGCAGTGGTTACTGCGCATATATTTAGTACTTGGTTATACAAGTATTAAATATATGCACAGTAACTGTATAACTGTATAACCAAGTACTAAATATATGTGAATGCTAGTACTAACACCAGTGAATGCCTTTTTAGTGATGCTATTGTGCAGTAGCCTAATAATACTGTGCAGTAGTGTATTAGCACTGGCTGGGCTGTGATGTGCTACTGCACAGTGTTATTAGGCTACTGCACAGTTCATGTCTCATGTAGATGTGCCCAGGGTAGTTCTTTTAGGTATAGCACATTTCATCCAAATTTCTCTGTAAATGTAATTCAATAGCTATTCCCATAGGAAGAAAAGGTTCTTGAGATTCCTCCTATGTTTGTTTTTGGTAACTTATATCCCCTAGTTTTTATCACTCCTAGGCTCTGTAAATAATTGATTTTTGGGGTTCAGAATAACCCTTTTGCCCAATCACCACTGGCTATGGCACTCACTGGGCACATTTACACGTACAATTAATGGGAAGCAATAAACTCTGGAGAACCACATCTACTAGTTCCCCTAGAAATGCTCTAGCAATGTATAGTTTGGAGCTGGCATCTTTCAACCTCTCCTGTTGACTCCATTTTATTTCATATCAAATAGAAGGAAAATGACTTTATATACTTCAGTGGTTGAGGAATCCATGAATATGAAAAAAGTTAAATAGATCATTTTCAGATACTAAAATACATGACTGTAGGTCGGACATTTGGATAGTGCTGGATAACAGGTGAGAAATAACAACCTTAACAATATAAAGACTGCTTTGAGTTTGTTCACAATTTCAATGGATACAAATTAAAAGGAATATGATCTCATTAAGATAATAGTGCTGCAGGCAGCTGCTCACTTGATAAACCACTACAGGCGCAATGGTTTCTGAAACATGGAAGCTATGCGTGTCTACCCCTTTGGTACTACAGAACACAGTAACCTTCTACATCATGTCCTTAAGACATACTCAGACTATTTTCTGAATCTTCATAATATAGTTTTCTAAAAACTCTGTCAAACATTTATCTATTCTCTTGCAAAGCATCCCAAGGTTCACTAGGACAAAGCTGAATGCTGTTCTGACCGTTTCTCTCCTCTCTCCATGTAAAACAGGCAACTGTGTGAGTTTTCTTAACTGCACCTCAACTTGGGTTCAACTATCTATATCCTTTAATCATCAAAAATTATCAGAACACTACAAAAAAAAGACAGCTCAAAGTGTTTGGATTTGTCCGTCTTCCTAACACAAAAGTTTTATCTATTTCTGTTGCATTTTCAGATGATTATTTTTTCTAAATAACCAGCGAAAGGTTAATGGCTATTTTCACAATTGGTTCCAGATGTTTACCATTCTTTTCTGACGTCCTCAGGAAGATCATGTCAGCAGGGACTCGCTGATTCTGTTACGAAAAGAAAGGCCATTATTGTGTATACACTGATGCATACATAGGCAACCCCCACAATCCTCAGTAGTGATGTGGCAGAAAAATAACAGCTTTCAAAAAAACCCCCAAAAAACCAAAAAAAAACAAAAAAAAGGTTTTGCTCTTCAAGAATCTGGTGATCAGGACTGATTTTGTTTCAAAGCCTAAAAAACTAACTTTACTGCAGAAAGGCAGATTCATATGCTTTCTGTTGCACAAATTCTGATAGCCCTTTCTCTGTAGCAGCTATCTCTATATTAAAATAGTGACAGACATTGCACAGAGATAGAAAGCAAGTCTGTGAAAACCATCTTCTGAACAAAGGAGCGCTAGCTGAATGTAGAAGAGGGTCATTTGAAAACATATCAAAATACATATCGCATCCTTTCAGATCAAGATACCTATAATATTACAGGAGAGAGATTTCATATAAGAATAATACTGTATTCCTTCAGAAAGGAAAACTTTTTTAAAATAAGCATTTATTCTAAATATAGTCCCCCATCCAGTAATTTACTCAAATTCAATTAAAATGAATTGAAAGCTATTATATGCATCATACAGAAGCTGTATCCCTGTAGAGTATGTCATTATTTGATGCTTTATTTTTTTCAGATTGAAAGCCAGAATTTTGGATGATTCTTAAATTCAGAGGTGCCTTACATAGTAAGGAACATATTATATTGCCACGTACAAGCCTGCACATGGGCAGCTGTGTCCTTATGTGCCCAAAAATACAATTATGAGTGCAAAAAATGCATTTGTAAATGCAAACAATTTGACCTACTTGTTTGGATGCACAGAGGCAGGGCCATTTGGCCCTTTTATCTTGGCATGCAGAGGTATGAGGGAAATTCAGATCATAGGCTTCCATACAGAGATTTAGCGTTAAGACTTTACCATGACGATTTAATGCAATAGAAAATTATAGGAAAAGGGATATTACTAGGAAAGGTGATTCAAGATCATTAATATCCAGCACTCAGTACTATTTAGCCTACTGTAAAAAGCAAGTGGCATGATATTTCAGAATCATATTTCACCGAATGTGAAGGAATACTTCACAAACAAAACCTTTTATATTATCTATATGTGCATATACACACCCACACCCATCCCTACGAACCTTTTCAACAATGACAAGGTCCCCTACTTGGATATTAGAACTCTTCACCTTCACGGTTCCTGCAGAGGTACAATAAATACCATGTCAGTTGTAAACGTTCCAGCAAAATTACGATAAAACATACAGAAAAGTAGGGTCTCCGCCTACACTGGAAGTCCAAAAAGCTATGCTGGGAGCTATATATAAGTTACTTTAAACAGATCATTTTGGAGGCAGTCAAGAACAACTCTAATACAAAAGGACAATGGATCATGTCCCTACACAGGAGCGGATCCATACTACTGCTAACTAGTGCTGTAGGTGGGAGATGCCCGTGTTTTACAAATCGAGGTGCTAGGTTTTCTCTCCTGGGGTTTCAAGTCACTAAACTGATATATTGTGCTTTCAATCCAAGATTTTTAACAATAATTTCATAGGTAGCCTCTAATAGGAGCATGCTAACATTTATTCTCTCGCAGTAGCCAGGCATTTTACCAGTTTCTTTAAAATAGAGGATTAATTGAACAATTGGCTAGTAACTTAAAATTATTAGCCAGCTCTAGATTTGGTTTCTTACGGTGACTAGTGATTTATTATCTGTTAATTTAAACTCTGCCTTTATGCGCCTGCCTGCTATACCTCAACAAAAGCTTCTTTGGTTGGTTGCGGTTTGGATGGAAGCGGCAAAGTCTTGTGGGAGTTCATGCCAAGCAGGACCCCGGTACCGACAAGGCTCCTACTGTACCTTGAAATTCATTGGCTAGCGGGCTTGTTGCAAGCTCGGGGGAAAGGAGAAAGGGGTGTGCTGGGGGGGCGGGTTGGAGAGGAGGGAAAGGAAATTAGCAAAAAGCCCAAAGGTCACAGGGATTTTACTACTGGCAGTCCCTTCATTAGCATCCCTCTCAGGATATGCTTCAGTGTTTCTGCTCCAAATTAACAATGAAAGCCATTCTAAGCTCCCAGGCAGCCTGCTGCTCTGGTGACACACAGTGTGCTTAACAACATGCCTCATCACTGCTGCTAATAAATGCAGACTTCCTCGCATGCTGTAATTATTGCTACAAATTATAAGCAGTCATGGCCCATTTCAAAAATATCTCATAGGTCTTCACAGGCCTGGGTTTTTGGCTTGTGAAATGTTAGTTAAGTAGAGGAAATAAAGCGTATGCTGGGCAAAAGAAGTCTTTGAATTCACAGCCAGGGGCACAAGCAGCGTACTGGGGATTAGACTCTATGACATGCCACTGAGAGATTTGCAGAGAAAACTGCACTCCTGAACAACATCACTCACTGTGTACCATCTGTGGAGTCTATCATATTAGGACATTAAAAAGGTCTCTTGCTTCCTTCCTTATATTGTCATTCATGGTATAACAGCAAACACTGGTGAATACTCTACCATACAAGGAAGGAAGCTCTGAGAACTTCCTCCCCCATGGTCACAAAAGTTCCTAAACCCTGGTACAAAAAGCACTTGGTTGGAGATGTGAATTTCACTTAAGACTATTCAAAATTGGTTTACATTATTTCTCTAGTATGCTTTTGATGTGAGCCCCAGGGATATTAGGTGACCACTGGTAGGAGGATTTATGACCTACAGGATTACTAATGAGAAAGTGTCAGTGAGACAGGCTATTTAAAAATAAATAGACCTTAGGAAAAAGATTGAACACCACAGCAGACCATCATCTTGTCTCGTTCATCTTTACCATGTGCAGAAAAAATCTTTATGGATCTTTCTATGCCAGCATCTGGGAAAGACCATTATCCACTACAAGCCATTTCAAATCAGAAATAATGAGAAGTGCACACAGGAGGCCCAATAAGCATCTCAGTATTGGCACTTGCAACGTAAAAAAAAAAAGGACAGGTCACATTATTTTTCTAACCAATATGCTCTTTCCAAGGATGCCTGTTGTCTAAGAGAGATCCACACCCCTTTTAACAAGTAAATCTAATTTTGCAGTGCCAACCAAATTCATGGCCCCTCATGGATGACATCTTTGTAGTAAGCACCATATGTCTCACTAAGAAGGCAAGACCAGATGTTTCCTTTGACTCAAGACTCGCATAAAGCCATTTATTAAAATTAGTTTTATTTTGATCTTGGGAATTCTGTAGGTTTTTTAAAGGAATTAGCTAACAAAATATTGGAATTTTCATGTACATTTAAGCAAATACCCAATAACAATTCTCAACATGATTATAAACATTAGTAAGATATTTTGTATATAATACATGTGCCAGGAGCTTATTCCAAGTGGTCCAGTTTTAACAAGGATAACAATATTTTAAAATGTCAGTTGTTAAATCTACTTTTTCAGAAGTTAATTAGAATGTACTTCAATAATTAACACTGAATGCAGAGTTCAGATCTCAAAAATCCTGTTCCATTTAGTCACATTATCCAAGTTTAAAACGTTGAGGATTTATTTTTTAAACAATATAGGTTTCATTCTTAATTTGTGCAATGGGATTTCTTCAAATTTTCTAAAGGAAAGAAAAGAAATTTCTATGCCTTTTTTGTACGTGCAAACAAAAATCCCTGCCTAGAGGTCTCAGTTTCAGCTATTCATGTGCTCTGAAAGTGCCTGTTCGGGTCATACAGAGACAAAAAAAAAATGTGCACACTAACATGGAAATGGTTCACACTGACATGCAACCATGGGCTTTTGAATTTCCACCAGATCCCCAGCATGATGAACACGCCATTATGCAGACAATTTAAAGTGTCAAATACATGAGCAAAGGGAAATGCCTCCTACCATATAAGGGCCTAAATGGAGATTTCATGTGGGATTTGCACAGTCTTTATCATGGCAGGGATCAAAACACAATTCACTCAGAATTAAAAGGTGAAGCTGAATGTTTACAAAAACAAGTCAAACCCATCCGAAAATCAGAAATAGGTTGTTTTGATCCATTTTGCTGCGCTCCTAGTTTATACTGTGCAAGCAGTGGAGCAGGGCACAGAGGGTTTGGGAAAATATTGTTTTTGTACGGCTGGTAAATGCTGATGATCTGTATCTGAAGGAGCACCCCCTCAGTAGGAGGTCTCTTCACATTTCTTACTTTTTGTGTAGTTTCCCTCTATTATGCTCTGTTACCCAGGGGGAAAGAAAAAGAGAAGAAAAAACAACCCTGGAATTTGCAAGCAAAGTCCTAGCTCTCTATCAAGCAGAAACCCAGCCTGCAGACTTTGTAACACAAGGGTTCTTGTACATTTATGAATAGAGGACTGAAATTTGATTATTTTTAATTACAATCCAAACAACTGCCTCCAAATAAACAGCATCCTGTAAAAATACGTCCTAGCAAATTGTGAACTCTAAACTCCAATTTGCAGAGTATATCAAAAAGTTAACATTAGCAATCCATTAAAAAAAATTAAAAAGGCAAATCAGGCTCAAAACTTGTTTATTATGCCAAATAAAAGGTTCATTTGGTAAAACAGTCACTATTTTATCTCACCTTTCTTCAGCAATCTCTAACGTGACTTTGGCTATTTACATTAAATAGATAAAGTGATCTAAAAATGATTCCCTTTTGTTCACTATAAAGGGAACAGCTGAATCTAAAGAACTTCACTAAAACAGCGCTAGACAACTGGAAAAACAAGAGGAAAGCTTGAAAGCCCAAATTACGAAACAGCAGAGAGTTTGCATTCGAACAAATTGGAGTGCCGTCTGCTTAGCTTGGTGAAAGAACTTGTGTTATAGAGGTGCATTAACAAGAGATTATTTAACTGAGCAGTAAATCTGCATCTCTGTAGTGATGCAACTGGCAAGAAAGCAAAGCAGGAGAAAGATGCACAGCAAAGACAGGAAGATCCCGACTCCCATGAAGTCATTTAAGCTTGTTTAAATCCATCCCTTCTCAGAAAAGCACATAAGCATGTGCTGAAATCTCTACTTGAATTGGAAATGAGCAAGCACTTAATTCCTTGGAATTGTACAGAGGGGCTGCTGTTTGGAAAAAGAAAAATAATAAGTTATCTAGCGATTTTTGTGATGATTTAGAAAAATATTCTACAGCAAAAGTAAGATGAGTCAGCAAAAGGTTGCAGTAAACTATTAGATCTGCCACAGCTGTTCTTCAAGAACAACAGAGCAATTTTACTTCTTTTACTTTACCCTTCCCAAATGCCATCTATCAGGGAAAATTTCCCCAAATTGCAATTTTTTATAATGACTTTTTAGAAAACAGGCACACACTCCTGCACTGTCCTTTTAAATATGTTTCTACCTTTATTTGGATTGTGATAATACCTCATGCCAGTCATGGTCCATAGTACCCTGGGTGCAAGGTACTACCTATACCCAAAAGGCATTGCTTCTCTAAATATAGCTTACAACCTGAAGAGCTGTGGTTCTGGCGGTTAAAACTGCATTTAGCGAATGGCAAAGAAGAGATTATCACTGGTGACATCTATATACTTATGAACTATTTTTTGAAGTGCTAAGCCTGTAGTCAACAGGAGTGAGGACACTCCAGCACCTCTGACAGCCAAGCCCTCAAAACGTTGCTGGCTTTCACATGCAGAGCAAGATGGTTAAATTAACTCTATGCCAAAATTGCTATGCAAATGCTTTTTAAAAAGTTTAGCTAATCATCCCTGATGCACTTGTCTTACTGGTAAATCTTCTAATAAATCATTTCCTTTTTCTGTTCCCTACAATCTGATCTCACTAGACCACTGTAGCATCTCATTATTGTTATCTCAGCAAATGCATTAAAAAAGAAGAATGAAAAGGCTTAGGTTTTATGCTAGTGCGCAGCTGCCAACCCCACTCAGTTTCTTCAAGAAGTTAGTGAAGTTAAAGGGGGTGGGGGAAGAATCATTCATGGGAAATGTAATTGCAATATGAAAAGAACTAAGGAAAGGTCGGACCCCTTATAGATCAATGAATAGAATCCAGAAGGCAACTCCTTTATACCTTTAAATAGATGTAGCACACCCCTCTCTGATGGGGCTTTTGTTGGTTGCCAAGCACTTTAAATGTTGTAGTAAGAACATGTTATTAAAAGGGGATTTAATATTCAGCAACTCCAATTCCCTAGTCCAGAGAAGCCTCATAATTCCTGGCATGTAAAATATACACAACCTTAAGCAATTCCAATGAAAAGAAAGCTTGCACTCAAACTAGCAAAGTGTTTAAAGCCTGAACCAAATGGCAGACCTTTTTTTCCTTTCTTTTTAATATTATCCTTCTCACTACGTCTTCAAATTGAAGTACTATAGACCTTGAAGACTGATGCTCAGTAAGAAGAGAAGCCAGCTAAATTTCAATTTCCATTAAAAAAATATCCCCTGGCCTCACTGATATTATCAAGGCATTAACAGAAACTCCATGTTTAAGGATGGAGCTCTTTACTTAAAGTAGCATTTAAAGTGTGTTTGTTAAGCATAATATTAAACAATGATCATATTAAAAAATCACCACCATCACTGATGCCTAAAGTACAGTTCAATTTTTTTTTTTAAGTTTTAAATGAAACTATTGTATCTTATGAGTCTAGAAATGTCTACTTAAAAAAAAATCTTTCCTTATAAAAGATGTATGTCCTTATGACATAAAACTCATTACTTCAAAATTTGAGGGAAGGCTAGCTAAACAAGGTATACTGTATTAAAATATTGAAAGTTATAAGCAACAAACCTAATAAATGTTTCTATTGTTGTCAGGAAAACCAGCTGAGGAAATAGCAATTGAATGCTAATGTGTACTTTTTGTGACAAAGTACTGTTGTGTAATATTTTCATACGTGAGCAATTTTGGCAAACAAGGTTGGGCAGTAGTGGTGCCCTGGAAGAGGAGCTGGCCTAACAGAACTCAGTGGATGTTTCATTCTGCTTTTCAAGCACAAGGTGTTTATTATATTCAGGGCTGTGCTGTATGAAAGAACACACAAAAATGGATTTTTTTTTTGGCTTGGTGGCCAAAAGATTTTTTTTTTTTACCTAAACAATGATTCTGAAAAATAAATATGAAATAAAATCCTAAATTAAACACTGGTTCAAAGTGGAAAGTTAAAATTATTTTTGACATATCAAAAATGAGATGTTTGATTTTTTGGAACATTCTCACATTAATTTTAATCTATCCGATCCTACACATTTCTGCAAATAAAACTTTTTACCAGGAGTCATCCAGGCCTATAGCCTTGGTATTTAGAGTGGTTCAGTTCAGATGGCCGTGGTAACCCAGAATTTACATTTTTTATATCAGTATAGTCATCAACTATTTCTGTATTCTCAGTTGTAGCAATGGAAATCTATATCTTTTACCATTTTAACTCCTTTTGGCCATGTGGTACCCAGTAAATATTTAAACCAAGCTATAAAGGGTTAATGATTATTTACGTAAATCATGTTCACTGCCAATCTGCAGTAGGGTTTTTGTTTTTCAGAAGAGCTTATTAATAGCACGGTATTTTATATACTACAATTGTACAAATTAATGGCAGTGTATTTTGCATGAGGATTGTTTACTTCAGCACCCTTAAGTCAAAATTAAATATTGCATATAGGAAACGTCACAATACAACATGTGTTTTTTACATAGATGGGAAAGTAATGCCACATACCTGGAAAACAAGGTATTATTGAAATACTGGTGCATGGCTACTTAGGAGAAACCACATACATGGTTTTAAACCACAACATCATATCTGCCACATCTCTAGTCTCACCTTCATTGCTACTACATGACTTCTTGCACTTAAGTCACTTAGAGACTGGGGATGGAGAGGAAGATGGAAATCCATTTCCCCTTCAATAACACTTCCCCCACAAGGACATTCACCGCTAATTCTCCAAGTAATGGATCTATGTGAGCAAAGGCAAAGGATTCTGGGCTTTTTGTTTTTTTTAAACAAAACCCGACTCCAGGCTAATCCAGATTCAGACCTAATTCCATTTCCTCCAACACATCCAGTGCACTGGAAAGGGACAAGAACATGGAGCAGAAGGCTCTGGTATGAGCTATGGTTTAGGCTGGGGGTTGGCAACCTTCTGCCACTGCGGGCCACTGCTTGCAACCAAGCCCCTGCCACAGGCTGTACCCAGGCAGCCCCCACTGGCGATCGGCAGGTGCTATTAAGGGAATTCGTAGATGCAGGCACTAGGACCCCAGGGATGCTTCCTTTGTTGCAACAGTGAGCGTGAACTGAACCTGGCAGGCAATAGGGGCATTTATTTTGTATACATGCTTGCACCACAGCACCAGGCACTTCCAGCATGGGCGCATGCATTTGTATAAATGGTGAAATGCGCATCAGTGCTGAGAAAATGGCAGCAGTGTGCTTTTGAACTAAAACACATCAAAGGTGTTAGTTCAAAAGCACGCCGCTGCCATTTTCTCAGCACTGATGAACGTTTGGCCACTTATACAAATGCATGCAATGCAGTGCCGGGCACATCAGCTCACATGTGGAGCAGGCTCTGCTCCAGCACATTCGAGCAGACAAGCGTATGTGTATAAATACCCTAGGACTATGGAAATGCCTCTTCTGCTGCTTGGGCTGGAATATGATGCCAATTCCCTGAGCTACCAGGGGCTAGATGTAGTTTCATCACAGGTGGATCCAGCCCATTGGCTTTAGGTTGCCAACCCCTGACTTAAGCCTAAAATTTTATACCGCTGTGTGCTCTTCTCCAAGTACTTATCTGGAGAGACCTGTCTGTGCATAAATATAAATTTTAAACCATGAGAAGGAACTTTATTTATCATTCGGCTTATCCAGCACCAAAAACACTGTCACACATGCTAATCTCAACAGTAGTGAGAGTCTGACCACTCCAGCTGCATGTACTGTGCTCTCGAGTATTTCAAAATAATTAGCCCATGCACATTTGCTCTCAATTTACTTCCTGGGGAAACACTTGAGTAGAAGCAGCTTCAATTGCAGTTATGCAAGAAGCTATCTGCAAGTTCACCAAGACCTGCAGATGCCTTGCCAGTGCCAGAAGCAACCAAGCGGCTGTTAAGCCACGTGCCTCCGTGCCTGTAAACCCCACCACTCTTTGAACTCTGCTTCTCTGATTATCAGTAACATTTGATTGAATTGCAACCCCTGCGGCTCCAGCAGTCAACTACAGGATGCAGCGGGTGAGGTAGAGAGCTGGAGCCAAAGAGCTGACCTCTTGCTGTGAGCTTGCTGTAGATCTGGGAGTTTACTTCCTTGTCGCGCATGTAACATCTGATCTCCTCCACTGCTTCTCGGATGATGGTAACCGCAAGAACAAACCCCTAAAAATGCCGAATGGAGAAAAAAAAAGCCAGAAAATACCATCTGTCTCGGATCAGAACAACACATGATAACTAGCAATAGCCATTCCTATATTCTGCATTTTAATCTTGCTTACCTGACCCTTTATTGGTTAATTACTATGATGATGGGCGGCATCTAGAATCCAAATAGCAAGCTAACAAACTGGCATTTTGAAAATGTATCTTTTAGTGACAACACTTGCCTCTGATGCTTGCCAAACCCCTCACAAATACCATGATTTATCCTTGCAGTGCCCCTGTGAGATGGCAAAATGGTATTTCAGTTTGATGGATGAGTAACTGAGGTAAAGAGTTGAAGACGTGACTCAATCACACAGGAAGACAAATACACAAGAGAACCTCCCAAACTAGGGCACAAAACCAAAGATGACTACCTAGCTTGGGCCCTAATTGTACAAATCCGCATATATGACTAACTGTGCTCCCATGAGTTATCTTTTGAAACCAGTGGGACTGTTTCAGCAGCAAAGTTCAGTAAGTTCATAGATATTTCTAGGATTGGGAGTTCAACCCTGCTCTTCTATTTACTTCATTAAAATGTTCAGTTTCCTGCTGTATGGGAAATAGACATCATACTCTTAGCATTACGTCTCTAAAAATAGGTAGAGCTCAAACAAGGCAATTATCTCTGGAGCCAATATTACAAAGTCATTTTACACAAGGTATTCAGCTCCTATCGACTGGATGGCTGAACCTTAAACACCAACTAAACCGAGCTGTGTACATTTTGCTTTACGTACAGACATTTTTTTGAGAAAAATTTGTAACCAGTTAAGGGGTATCTTGTCCATCAGTGCATTTATTAGTTTTCCAAGCAAATTTAGAGTGAAAACAAACAAAAGAAACCCCCAGAGAATATAAACAAATGAAACCAAAGATAGATGTATGAAAAAGAATGCAGGAAATGAAGTACAGTTTTTTTTCTTCCAAAATCACTAACGTAACTGCAATGCCCAACTCACTCTAGGCCCGTGGTTCTCAACCTCATTGGGATCCGATTTTCAGAAAATGTTGATCACCTGCTCCCTGGAAATCATAATGCTTTAAGGCAGGCGTGTCAAAGACAGGCCCATGAGCTGGATCGGGCTTGCAGAGCCTCATTACCCAGCACCCAGTGCTGCCTCTGGGCCTGGAGTTGAGCCACAGCCATGCTGCACATGGCACCTGCGCCACATGTGCTGTCTGTGCAGAGCCAGTCTAGGATGCACGTCACGCAGTCCTGCTCCAGCCAGCCCAGGAGGCATGCTGCATGCAATCCTCGCTGGGAAGTATGCCCTGCTCTAGATGCAGGTGCTCTGGGCAGCAGGGGGCCTGCCCCAGCCAATTCAGGGCCCATGTGCAACATGCGTCCCAGACTGGTACCCATATGGATGCTGCATGCACCGCATTCCCAGAATAACCAGAGTGAATGCCCTTGCCCAATCTGGCCTGCGGAGTCAACCGTGCATTATTCATCTGACCCGTGGAGCCAGTTGAGTTCAACACCATTGCTTTATGTCATCTTGACCTGGGTACGCAAAACCCGAGGCCTATAATACTAGCTAATCATTTGGGAAATTGCAACCAATCACTCTATTATTTTATAGTGGAGAAACGAGTGAAAGCTAAGAGCTGGCATTTTCACCCTTACACTTTTTCCTTTCCAAGAATATGTGTATTTAGCAGAGATTAAGAGCAGAAGAGACATCAAAGTTAGTAGGCTAACACAGAATTTGTTAATGTTAATGAAATCCTGCACCCTGTAAAAATGGTCATTTTTTTTTCTGCACACAAGCTAATTTTTCTGACAATAGAATACCAAGAAGATTACTGGCCTAAGAGAGACTGTTCTTAACCTCTAGGCTTTTTTTCTTTTTTCTCCCCCTTTTTTTTTGACCATGAGGTAGAACAAGTCCAAAAACATTTTGGAAAACAACAACAAAAAGTAATTTTTTGCAAGAAGAAAAAAGTGTTTTAACAAAAAATCCTACCAAATTTTGCCATGGGGAGAAGAGGGATGATCAAATATACAAATGACCTAGGGTATTTTCTCATTTTGCCTTCCATACATCCAAAAAGTACAACTAAACAGGACTGATGTTCTTCCATCTAGGAAGACTATACCCTAAAGACTTCAAGCTCCTTTAGATATACAAGTGTGTCAGAATAAAATTCATAATGGAGAAGCTAAAAAGTCATTAATATACATAATCTTTTAGAGGGCCATTTCACTCCTAAAGGGTATGTTCACTACTTCATAATTTGGGCCACTGAGAAAGACATCAATTGTGTAACTGAGAAACAAAAAAACCCTAACAACTTCTCCAAGAATTAAAATTTGTATTTCTTGTGTTCAGCTTCAAACTTCTAGCTGCTTTAAAAAAGAAAAAAAGAAAGAAAAAAAATTAAAAGAAAAGAAAGGAATAGAGTCTGTGCCAATTATTTTGAGCTTATTTTGTGGATCAGTACTTTAAAGAGTTTGGGCATCTGAATTTCAAATAATCATCTAAAAATATTCCCACATGTGCTGCCTCACTATGCCATCATGTATGTCATTCTATACCAAACACTTGTATCAGCAGTCAGTAATGAACAAAGACCTTTCTTATACTAGTCGCTGGCAGCTCATATGCTAAATCCTAATTGCTCATCTGGCTTAGACAAATCACAATTGCCTATATAATTGCAAAAAAAGAGAGAAATTGTTGACAGGGTCTCGTTAAAGTAGCTTGTGACACATGCTTTCTTAAATGGGGCAAACACAATAACTGTCATGGGTAAATGCCTGAGACTGAATTCAGCGTTATACAGGTTTGAACGCTAGCAGCGTTTTAGCAGTAGACTGCCATACATCACTCTTCAATTCTGTGATATCAGTTTGCTTTTACTAATAGGGATATCTGTTTACTTTGAGTTTAATGGAAAGCAACTTTCTCCCATTCAGTTGGAGATGGAAAGAATGATTTCCCCTAGTCCCCGTTCCCTGCTCCCACCCCCCAAATCAATTCTCCCAGAGCTTTTACCACCAGTGATTCACAAACAAAAGCCAAGGGCAGTCTTTACACACCATGCAGGTCTGCTTATAACTTTAAAATGTGGCTTTTGCTTCCTATACAAAGTTACTATAAAGATTTTCTTTAGATGGACACTGCATTCATCCAAGGATTTCTAAAACTTGTTGGAAGAGCCAAAAAACAACAGTTTATTTGCAGCTTCTTTTGAAGGAAAAGGGATGGCTATATGGGCTTGACGCAAATATTGTCTACCATTTTTTTAAAGCAAAGTGGAATCACCAGCTGGGGGAAGCTGGTTGCAGCACAGGGACATCAGCCTAAATCATTATTTCCATCTTGACTTAAAAGTAGAGAGAAATGGTGGCACATAGATTTATGTGGCTGATACAGCTGCAACTAGCTGAACAGCTGAATTTGCACTTATTGCATGTGTACAGTCATTCACTGAGGTCATTCTGAATAAAAATACTGTGAGGCCTTCACATTGGTTGTCAGACTTCGGTGAGACCCCTACCAATTTTTCTCATGAAATACTCTCATGCCCCCACACAGATCCTCTGTCTGCATGTTTCACGTTCTGGTAACTGCAGCTTTGAAGAAGACTAGATAGTGCCAGAAAGATATTTATTTTGGTCTTTGTTTTTCCCCTCATTTAACAGAGGGCAGGGCCAGCTGGCTGCAATGTCAGTAAGTCCAGAAGTTGCATAAGCAAAGAATTCTGTATATGTTAACAATTCAAATGAACAGCGTTGGTTACAGACTCCTCTGATATTGTAATGTTAAACCTTTACAAACTGAATTCAAAAAGACCGAACAAGGATCTACATCCCAGAATGGTTAGAGAACAGACTTCATAAAAACAAGCTAACACAATCCATTTAAAATGTGGAATTATTAAATCCTAGAGATAAGGCAACAAAGGACATTTTGTAGCCAAACACTGAAACTTCCTTGAATAAATAAACCTTAGATGACCTACCAGGGGAACCCAATACGTGTAAAGTGCAGCAAGCCTCATTTCAGGAACAAATTGAGAGCAGTCCAGAAGCAAAAAGTAAAGATTGAAGAAATACTTGAACTGGTTAAACAGCACCTACAAAAAAAAAAAAGAAGGGAGATATTAATGGAGAGCTCTAAAGTTATGCATGTGAGATGAGACATATTTCTGCTAGCTACTGAAGTGTCTAAATCCTAAATTGCAGCAGCTTTCAAGTAGCTTTGGAAATTATTTTTAAAAGGTCATTTTATGTGCATAGAGTATACACAACTGTGCCTATGCCATACCAGACTCTTCCGTAATTCATCTTTAAGGCGGGTACATGATTTCACCCTTATTTTAAACTTATGACAAACTCCACTTTGAGAAGTGATGGTTCTGTAAACAGCAGTTTACTGCCTATGATTTCTCTTGCAAAAAATGTGCAGAAACTTGCATTTGCTTCCCTGGCACTTTCACTCCAACAGCAACCAGTCTACTTCCTCTGTTTAAAAGAAAACTGTCCCTAATGAAAAGACTGTATGAATTACAAATTGACCTCTAAGAGCAGGCCATGCATGGTGTGCAGAGAGAAGCTCAGAAATGTAACACAGAAGTTGCTGTTATGGAGCAAGGCCACCAGTCCTTCTGCCCCTGCAAGGGAGAAATGGGAGCCTATACAGTCCACTAGCAAGAAAGGAAGAGAGGAGCATAGCAGAGGAGCATAGCAAACTGATGGCTGGCAGGTGAGGTCCAAAAATTGCTTATCACTTATCACTTCATTAAGTGCTTTCTCCCTATAATATTCAGAGTCTGAATGATTTCTTCAGGTACTGTTCTCATTTATAAAGATTAGATCATCTAAGTCAAGGAACAAAAACTGTACCATGTGACTCAGGTGCTTAATTGCACACGCTATATTCCAAGTGTGATTTGAAAGTTTATTTCCTATAAGTTTATGTTGGAAGAAAGGATGATATTGGCTTCACGTTCAAAGGCATTCATTAGAAGTCTGTGTATAAATATTTGGGTAAAATCATGTTTGGCTCACAGATAACGTGGGGGTGGTCAAATTATGATTCCTGAGTTTAGCAAGTCAGGAACTCCCCTGATATACCTTATCCACAGTTCAGGGGAAATAAAACTGCCAAATAACCCATAGGGCAGCATCTACATGATCAATGGTGATCCAGTATCATCACTGATTATTAGACTAGTTAGAGAGGTATTAAATACTGGGCAGTAGTTTATGAGGTCATCACACACAGGCAAAATATCCATGCAAGAGAACAGCTATCACTGCGCTGCCTATTTATATGGGTCTCTGTGATCCAGACAACCACATGCCTTGTTTGAGAGAACCTAAGGTCACAAAAAACAGCCTGTATATTTAAAAGCATCAGCAGACACACTGCAGTGCAGCTGATCTACAGACCAGGGGTAGAAGTTAAGGGAGAGGATGAATGGAATAATCAACTCTGGGACTTGGAGTAAATTCTACCCACAAAGACAGCAGGGTGCAGTTTGCATGGCCACCGATTATACCACCATACAGATTGCAAGTTAGTTTTATACTCAAAATGGATGTTGAAATGAGGACCAAAAGGCATATTTTAAGTAAAACAACAGGAGCAGGAGCAGAATTCTCTACTGTGAATTCAGGTTCTGCGTCAATACTTTATAAACCTACCAAAAATGAGGCAAGAGAGTCAGAATGTGGAGACCAGGAGTCCCCTTGGGAATACCTACCCCAGGGAGAAATGTAAAGAAGTTGTATTTTTGATTGTTGATCACATTGCGAGGGTACCGCTGGTCTCTTTTTTCTGGATGGCCGAGCCAAACTGTACGAGGCCTTGGGTCTCTTCTTCCGCAACATCTCAGGCACTCACAACACCTATTGGAAAAACAGATTTACTTTTCAAGAAACATTTTCATTTTATCCCTGTCCATGACTCCACCTGCTACATACCCCTTGCCTTCCCTAGGCATGTAGATTGTCTTGTTTTTCTCAAAGTGTCTGAAGCCCCAAACCTCTAAGTATCCCTGCAGATAGTGTTCTGCATTCTCAGTTTTTATTTTAAAAAAATAAATAATCTGGGAATTTTTCAGGGTTTATCATCGAAACATAAAAACTGGGATGCAATTAGGATAAAAGGAAGAAAAGGAAAAAAAATCAGTTTAAATTGGGGAAAAATCGGCGATGAGAGAGGGAGGGAATAAGGCTGGGACTAGGGAAAGGGTGGGGGTAGGGGTGGGTGCAGCCTGTTTGACCGCTCCTGGGGCTGCAGAAGGGAGCACAGCAGGGGGACCTGTCAGTGGGTGCAGGGGGCACGGGGCGGTGGGGCAGCTCTTGCTGCTATGCGCCCCCTGGGAGGGCTGTGGGGCCTGTGCCGGGCTCTTCCTGGGGGGGCATGTGCCCCTGGAGCAGTGACAGAAAGCACATGGAGCCATGCACTGCCTTATTTCCCTGGCTGTGTTTGCACCCCTCCCCCTTGCTGCAGCAGTCTGCTGCCAGGCTGCCTTGGCGTTTGGGGGGGGGGGGGGGGGGGGGGCGCCGCCCCGGCCAGGCTCTTCCACCTGCCTCTCCCCCTGGCAAGGCTCCCAGCTCCCAGCACCCAAGGCAGGGCCAAAGCCAGAACCACTGGGGTGCAGCTCAGACCTGCCTGCCCTGGGAGTGATTCCCACAGCCCGCCTTGCCCTACCCAGGGTCAGAGCCGAGAGCCCATGTCCCCAGGCAGTGGCTCCAGTCACCCTCCCCTGGCCCCTGTGTGGCCACCGCCACCCCCCAAACAACCCACTCCACATGTGGCCCCCGCCACATGCCCCCGACATCCAGCCAGAAACCTGTGCCGCAGATAACCAGTACAGCGGCATTTTTAGCTTACCAGCACCACCAATTTTTCAGTTCAAATCCCTGTTAACTAGCGTGAGTGGGGAATGGGCCATTCCCCACTTGTGCCAGTTAATAGGGATTTGAACTGAAAAATGGGTGTAAATCAGTAAAAACTGAATGACTTAAAAAAAAAAAATCAAGGAATTTATCAGTGAAACTCAGTAAAAACTGAAAATGCAGAACACTACCTGTAGAAAAGTGCTAAATAAACCCATGTAAAAGCTACAAACAAAAGGTAAGATTGTTTAATTCTTTGACATCGACCCAGTGATAGTCTATTTAGATTGCAAGCCTTTTGGAGTCGAGACCCTGATTTTTTTATTACTCTAGTAAAACACCTAGCATACTTGAAGTATTGCTGGCCTGACTCAAAGTCTGCCAAAGTCCAGGAAAGAGAATACATGGAGAGGCTTTGGGTCAGAACTTACATAGCTATTACTGCTACTAAAGTATTAATATAAATTAGGGGTGCACTGATAGAGATTTTTGGGGCCGATACCAATAGCCAATTGCTTTAAGGAGGCATATCGGCCGATAGCAATCTGATTTCAAATACGCAGCCTGGCAGCTTGAAGAGCTGTGCCCAGTTGGTAAGCCTGTTGTGGTGGAAGGGGAGGAGGGAGGGAAGGGGAATACGGGGGGCAGATCAAGGCCCCTGAGGTGAGAGAGGAGTGGGGCTGGGGCAAGCACTGCCTAGCTGTGGCGGGGCAATGTTCACGACGGAGCTGTGGCCTGTTCGTGGGGCGCGGGGAGGGGGGAGATGGCTCCCGCCACTGTGCGCACCCTGGGAGGACATTGGGGGGGCATGTGCCCCTGGATCTGTGCGGGGTGGGGTAGGGCAGGCTGCAGCTGCAGGCTGTGGCTGTGCAGAGGTTGGGCCGGGCTGGGCTACGACAGCACTTGGAGGGGGCTATAGCAGGGAACTGCAGTAACCCCACAATTCACATTAGGCCCCTCCCAGCACCACCACCACCTGCCCTGAGCGCAGCCCCGGCCCAACCACCCTCCCCATGTGCTGGGAAGAGCCCGGTGCAGCCCGGGCAGACCTACCCTGCCTACACCCCGCACAGATCTGGGGGCATATGCCCCTCCTGTGGTCTCCCAGGGTGCGCACAGTGGCAAAAGTACCCCCACCATCCCCACACCCCCTGGAAAAGCTGCAGGTCCATCCTGTGCCTGCCCTATCCCAGCTGGGCAGCACCTGCCCCAGCCCCTACCCCAGCCCCACTCCCTCCCACCCTGTAAGGGCCTTGATCTGCTCCCCCATGACCCTTCCTTCCCTCTCCCCATCCACCACGACAGATTTACCAGGTGCATGCAGCTCTCCAAACTGCTCCTCACCGCCTACATGTTGTGCTACGGCTGCACGCATGCACAGGCATTTATCGGCCAAATTATCAGTCACATTCGGCCAATTTCTGAAGCAATCAATTTGCTTTATATCAGTGCTGATCCGATATTGGACCAATGTATCAGTGCACCTCTAATATAAATATTACATCTATGTTCAAAGTGTTATATGGATATTGGTTAAACTCCATTAATACTCCGACATGGTGACTGAGTGTGTATTATTTTCATTTTACG